AGAGAGAATAGCTGTCCTCCTAGGGTTAGTCAGGAACAGATTTTGAATAGAATCACACTGACTAGTGAACTATTCACTATTTAAGCTGCTGCCCAGCAGGGAGGAGTCTGTGTCTTGCTCCAGAATGTCAGGTTTCCTAGGAAACAGTCTCAGTGAACTGTGAAGTCACTGGAGACGGGAACCAGGTCCCTTCATTTTAATTCTAGCACAGGACATGTCACGGAGGTACAGTGAGTATCCATTGAATCAAATTATGCAGTGAGAAAGTCAGATAAGTTGGCAACGCTTAGATACATCATTATTGGTCTTTTCTGTTTGTTTTGTTCTCTGCAGCATTTCCCAAGTGATTTGAAGCACAAATCTAGGCTCTCTGTGAGGCTTTATAGCACTGTCTAAAAATGGGGACTTCTAAAGTGCTGGGATTACAGGCATGAGCCACCGCACCCAGCCCACACTCTTAATTAGTGAAAGGTTCTCAAACTGAGGTCCACACACATATTTCATGAGTTCTGTCCACTAATTTTTTAGAATTAGTGTTTCATTGTGATAACAAAGTTTTAAAAAGTGTAGTCTGGATTGGCCAGGCATGGTGGCTCACATCTGTAATCCCAGTACTTTTGGAGGGATCACAAGGTCAGGAAGTCAAGAGCAGCCTGACCAACATGGTGAAACCCTGTCTCTACTAAAAATATAAAAATTAGCTGGGCTTGGTGGCATGCACCTGTAATCCCAGGTATTCAGGAGGCTGAGGCATGAGAATCGCTTGAACCTGGGAGGTGGAAGATGCAATGAGCCGAGATTGTACCACTGCACTCCAGCCTGGGTGATAGAGACTGTCTCAAATAAATAAATAAATAAATGAAAACAAAACAAGACAAAGCAAAAAACTTCCTATCCTGTACTGTGATTATTACCTGGGTAATAAAATCTGTACACCAAACCCCCATGACACATAGTGTACCTATATAACAAACCTGCGTATGTACCCCTGAACCTAAAATAAAACTTAAACATGAGGTGGTCAGTTTGGCTCAATTCCAATGCCTAAGGGCAGACGAGACGGCTGATTACTGTGTTAGTCCCTCAGGCTTAATGCTGTTACTTAACATTCTCTGACCCTGGCCCTACAGCCCTTGGACAAACCTGAGGCCTGAGTGATAGGTGGCTGCCATTGGGGGCTGTGAATAAAATCCCAAAAGGAGTTTTTTTGTTTGTTTGTTTTGTTTCTTGAGATGGAGTCTTTCTCTGTCGCCCAGGCTGGAGTGCAGTGGCGCAATCTCAGCTCACTGCAACCTCTGCCTCCTGGGTTCAAGTGATTCTCCTACCTCAGCCTCCTGAATAGCTGGGACTACAGGCACATGCCACCATGCCTGGCTAATTTTAGTATTTTTAGTAGAGACGGGGTTTCACCATGTTGGCCAGGCTGGTCTCGAACTCCTGACCTCAAGTGATGCTCCTGCCTTGAACTCCCAAAGTGTTGGGATTACAGGTGTGAGCCACTGCACCTGGCCCTCAAGGAGTTTTATTGAAATAGTGTTGGACAATGAGGATGCAAGGTATTGGGTACCATTGATTTCAGCAGAATTGATAGGTTGAAGGATGGTGCCTGTGACTTTACCATAATTCTTCAGTAACAGTAAATAGCACTGTTGGTATTAGCAGCAATAGGAGATGGCAATCTCAATGCATCAACATAAGGCAGTCTGTGCTTTGGACCAAATGATATTGGGCCTCTGCAGCAGTGGTGGTACCTTTTGCCAGTTTTGGTGATGGTCCCCTTCATGACTACAGAGAATAAAGATAGCCACAATTTTTTTCTACCACCCATCCCACCAAGAGGTGAAGTCTATTTCTGTTCCCCTTGAATCTGTATTGGTCCTTTGACTTACTTTGACCGTTGGAATGTGGCAGAAATGTTGTGTGACTTCAAAGGCTGGGCCTGAGGAGATCTGCAATGTCTAACTTTGCTGGTTGGGACATGCTGTCTTGGAATCCAATCTCCATGCTGTGAGGAAGGCCAAGCAGCCACATGGAGAGTAGAACTGAAGTTTCTGCCTAACATCCCATACTGGTTGCCAGCCATGAGTGAGTCTGTTTTGGACTGGGCCATCCCAGTATCCCAGATGACATCACTGAAGCAGAAGAACTACTCAATCAACCCATGGAATCATTGAAAGTAATAAACTTCGGATGTTTTAAGCCATGAAAAAAAAAGTTCCAGCATTGTTGGGTTAATGTTTAGAATATGTAAGGAAGTCCTACAACTCAACAATAAAGAAAACCCTGATTTTAAAATGGGCAAAAGACTTGAATATACATTTCTCCAAAGATGATGTACCAATAAGCCCAAGAAAAAATGCTCAACATCTCTAATCATAGGGAAATACAAGTCAAAACCATGAGGAGAAACCATCTCATGCCCATTAGGATGGCTATCAAACAAAAAAAAATCCCAGAAAATAATAGATGTTGACAAGAGTGGAGAAATTGGAGTACTTGTGCACTGTTGGAGGGAATATAAAACAGTGTGGCAGCTGGGTGTGGTGGCTAACTCCTGTAATCCCAGCACTTTGGGTGGCTGAGGCGGGTGGATCATCTGAAGTCAGGAGTTCAAGACCAGTCTGACCAACCTGGATAAACCCTGTCTCTACAAAAATACAAAAATAGCCGGGTGTGGTGATGTACACCTGTAATCCCAGCTACTCGGGAGGCTGAGACAGGAGAATCGCTTGAACCCGGGAGGCGGAGGTTGCGGTGAGCCAAGATCATACCGTTGCACTCTAGCCTGGGCAAAAAGAAGGAAACTCTGTCTCAAAAAAACAAAAAACAAAACAACAACTACGACAGAAAAACCAGTGTGGATGCTGTGGAAAATATGGTCATTCCTCAGAAAATTAAAAGTTGAATTATTACATGATCCAGCAATTCTACTTCTGGATATATGCTTAAAAGAATTTAAAGCAGGGACTTGAGAGATTTGTACACCTATGTTTACAGCAGCATTATTTGCAATAGCCAAAAGGTAGAAGCAACCTAAGTGTTAATCAACAGATGAATGGATAAACAAAATGTGGTATATACATATGATGGGATATTATTCAGCCTTAATAAGGGAGGAAGTTCTGACACATGCTACAACATGGATGAAGCTTTAGGACATTATGCTAAATGAAGTAAGCCTGTCATAAAAGGGCAAGTACTGTATGATTCCAGTTACATGAGATACTTAGAATAGTCACCTTCGTAGAGATAGAAACTAGAATGGTGGTTGCTAGGGGCTGGGAGAATGGGGAGTTGTTTGATGGGTATAGAGTTTCAGTTTGCGCATTTTTTTAATGGGGTTGTCATTGTTATTGTTGAATTGTAGAACTTCTTTACACATTCTGTATATCAATCTCTTATTAGATATATGATTTGCAAATATTTTCTCTCATTCTGTGGGTTGTTTTTTCATTCTGTTGATAGCATCCTGGAATACACAAAGTGTTTTAATTTTCATGAAGTCCAACTTATCTATGTTTTTCTGTTGTTCTCTATGCTTTTGGTGTCACATTCAAGAAATCATTGCCAGAAAAGAAAAAACCAAACAAAACAAAACAAAAAAAAGAAATCATTGCCAAATCCAATGTCATAAATATTTTCCCCTTTGTTTTCTTCTGGCAGTTTAATAGTTTTAGCTCTTATGTTCAGGTCTTTGATCTCATTAAGATTTTTAATGTGAACAAATTATGCATGTGTCAAGGCTGTGTTTGACTCTAAAATGAAAACATTAAATTCATATTAATGGATTGGGTGTGGCGGCTTATGCCTGTAATCCCAGCACTTTGAAAGGCCAAGGCAGGTGGATCACCTGAGGTTAAGAGTTCAAGACCAGTGTGGCCAACATGATGAAACCCTGTCTCTACTAAAAATACAAAAAAAAAGTTGTGTGGTGGCAGGCACCTGTAGTCCCAGCTACTCGGGAGGCTGAGGCAGGAGAACCACTTGAACCCAGGAAGTAGAGGTTGCAGTGAGCTGAGATTGTGCCACTGCAGTCCAGCCTGGGCAACAGAGTGAGACTCCATCTCAAAAAAGTAAATAAATGTAAATGACAATTACCTGAATCATACATAGTGTTTGTTGCCAAGTTATTCTAATTGCGATGAAGAGTAAAAACAAAAGTTTGGTGTCAGTATATTTGGTCATCTGAGTGTCAGTCTTGATCTGCCTGCCATTACTAGTTGTGTAGTTTAGGCAAGTTACTTCATGTCTCTGTCCAAGAGGCTTTTTTGCTTTTTGCCTGTAAAATGTGGTTAATGGTAGTAGTAACTAACTCATAGGATTGTTGTGAAGATTAAATGAGTGTATATATATATATATATATATATATATATATATATATAACTTTTCTGTCTGTCTCCCCCATCAAGATGTAGGTTCCATGTTTTGCTTACTCTACTGTTCACACATAGGGGAGGAGGGCTAGCACAGGGCTTGGTATTAAGTATGAATGTAAAACTTAAAAATGACTCGTGAGTGATCAAGCAGTCTCATCCACAGTTAATCTCAGCTGTTACTTAGCTCTTTACTCTGCTTCTCACCTGTCCATCTACTGTCTCTTACCACATGGATTGAGTGCTCTGTTACATAATCAAGACTCCTCTCTTACCTTGCTCTTCAGTTTTTTCCAGCTTCTCCCTAAACATACCAACTAAATCGTCCTGTGTTAAAAATCGATCCCGTTTTTGCATCTACCATTGTGTTAGGCAATGGACTAGGTATTCAAAGGCAACTGAGTTCATTAGTTTCATGTATTGGGCATCAAATCCTTGGTGCAAGTCGTTGTGGTACAGTGCATCTGCTGTGCATTTATTAGTAACTGGTGGTTAGGAAGTTAGAGACAGTAACCCCAGGAAATTAGAGTATACCCCAACTTATTACATATTATCTCAAATTGTTTTTAGCTATCTAAATCATGAGGTTTTTCTTTCCTACCTACATATTATGGTAGGAAAGTGTACCTACCAGTTTTCAGTTTCTGCTTTGCGAACTTTGTGAGCAGTAGCCACAGTTATCTCCCCAGCAATACCGTAACTTCCAAAGGGAGCACATTTGTCACCAGATCCTGAACTTTTTTTAGCTACATCTTCTACTGGGAAAGCAACGGAAAGAAAAACAGGGCTTTTTGGCTTGGGGACATCTTGTCCACTTGGAGGATTAGCCTTGCGGGGACTTAGAGTATGTTTCTGGAATTTCCCATCTGCAGGAACAGCAATGGGCACTTGCACTGCAGCATATCTCTTCAAGACATCTGACTGCGAAACAACAGCTTGCCCAGGAAGAGGTTCCCATTCCTGTGCTTTCTGAACATTTGAGCCTCCTGAGATAAAAGGTGGGGCACTGATCTTCTTTGTGTCGTCCATCGCATAAATTGGAGAAGTGACTGTTGGTGGATGCTGCAGAAACTGCAGATCTCGTCCATCGCATAAATTGGAGAAGTGACTGTTGGTGGATGCTGCAGAAACTGCAGATCCTTAGGCTTAGATATGTAGAGAGTTGCTTGGGGGAAAGGCCCAGGTGCAGGTGGCAGTGATGAGTGACTTTGTTGATTCTTATCAGTTAGACAATAAAGGGTCCACATGTTAGAATATGGTGGTGGCTGTTCTGGTTCGCTTGCTTCCATTGCTGGCTTCATCAAACCTTCTTCAGCTATTCCTTCCCCTTCTGGTTCGATTTCTGGTGCAGTAAGACCTTCTGGAGCAGAAGGGAAGGGGCCACTAGATGATTTTACAGATGTACCTGATTTATACTCCTTCTGCAGCTTCCCCAGAGAGCACAGGTTTGCCTTCCATCTCCTGGGGTGCAGAGTTTTCCCCAGACTCCTCCTGCCCAGTATTGTCAGAGACTATTGAAGTGATGGCCACTTTAAAGTGCAGAGATTTTTCAGAGCCTATTTTGATAGTGCCCTCTGCATCTAGGGGTTCTGCAGGTACCTCAGACTGACCTTTCAAAGATATATCTGAGAGCAGAGCTGTTGTTTCTGCCTCCATATGTACTGAGGGATATTTTTCATTCTCCTCCAACTGTGCAAGTTGTACAGATTATACAGATTTTTTAGACATGCCAGAGGTTGTCTTTTCTACTACAGGTTTGGGACTAACTGATGGTGACTGCTCGTTTTCTTTAAGACAAGCAACTTGATCAGTGAAAGGGATAACTATTTGTTCTGGCAGTTGCTCTACATAAACAACTCCTTCAGTCATAGGCACATCACTATGGATAGATGATATACGAACAGTTGACATAACCTCAATATCAGCCTGCAAAGGGACCTCAGGAGCTTGAACATAAGCAGGAGGTTCTTGTTCATCCTGCAGGGGTACTGAGGAAGCCTTTGATAGTTCAGCCTCATTTTCTTTAGGTTGAGAACCCAAATCTACATGGACAGATGTTTGGCTCACAACCTGCACTTCTAGTACCTTTCCAGAATACACAACAGGAGCAGCCACCATGACATCTTCAGCAGCCTCTGAGCTCGGCACCTCCTTGATAACAGCAGGCATACCGGTTGCCACATCTACCATTAAAACATCAGATTGATCAAAATGAATAGATGAAACTTTACCTAACATCTGAGCAGCAAGCTGAGCTGGGTCAGCTGGGACATAGGCAAACTCTGGTGAGACAGCTGTTGGAGGTGGTGAGGAGGGTTGGGTAGTAGTCTTAGGGGTAGCTGCTTTGGGAGAAGAATCATGAACTGCTTCAGTTTGCTCAGCGCCTAGCTCAGCATAAGTTGATGGAAACTGGGTGGTTTTGTCACTATATCCTGTTCCGGTTACATTGTCCTCCTCTGTGTCTGTAGATTTTCCCATCCATGTAGGTACTTCAGATTCTACAGATCTTTTTTCTGGTTCTTTTAAACATTCTACTTTCTTCGGTCATATCGATCCTTCTGACCACTTCTGTACTTTAATCTGATAAAACTGTTTAACCAAATCCTTTATATCCAGAGAAGCATTCCCTTCTCTATACATAGTAAGTTCTTTAAAATAAACTACTGCAAACTGGTTGATGGGTTGCTTTTGATAGTGGCTCTGCTAATTCCTTCGAGTAGAGTCTTGAGGCCACAGGGTATGCCAAATCTGGACGTTGAAGAAATCATTTTGGCAGGATGTCTGCAACTCAACTTCTTTCCAGCTGTGTTCTTAAGAGCTTCCTCATTGCCCACTTGCAGGCAGCTCCTCTAAATGAGGTTATATACATAAAGCCTTCTATAGCCTCATTTATAGAAAGAAGGTAAGAAATGTAAAAAAAAAAAAAAAGCTATTATTTAGAACTTGAGAAGGTGTAAAATAGAGGAAAAAAATGCCTGTTAGATGGAAACATGCTTAATTTGGAACCAGAGAGGCAATTTCTTTTATAATATGTGGCATCTTACATTCTTTAGTAGGTCTTATGGTCTGGCTAGGCTATTGTTACCTTCACAGTTGCATTTATTACTTGGAACTATTAGGACCCTATGTGTTGTGGTAGTTGTTGGTTTGTATGTCTATCTCCTCTATGGGTGTTTATCAACTACTGAGTGCCAGGCTCTATGGCATTTAGGATGCAGAGATGAAAAGACAGAGCCCTTGACTTCAAGGAGCTCATAGTCCAATGAATGACAGCTAAATAAAGAGGTGATAGTAATACAGTGAGGAGAAGATTGTTTGAAGTTCAAGCAAGGGATCAATAACTTTGGTAAGTTCTCCATGTGCTAGGATTGGTAGATATCAGTTACCTGCTGAATATTTTCTGAAGGACCAAAAGAATAGCTCCCAAATCAGCTGTCTGATGAAAGTCAGAGCTGTCACCTATCTCTGGCTAGCCTAGTGAGATACCCAATACCTGCACATAGATTTCTGGTCTGTAGTTTGAGAAACCATGCTTGGGAGAGCTTTCAGTGCAGTAACTTTGTCCAGCAGACTAGGAACACCGGCTTTTGGAAGGTTTATCCTCTTTCTGAGAATCTGGGCAGAAATCTTTTTTTTTTTTTAAAGTAAAATGTGGGAGCCAGCAGAGAGATGGTAGGGAAAGTGGATAGAGGCTGAGGAATAAACAGGTTCCTAGTTTCAGTGCCTCCAACCAGATGGAGCCATACTGCATGGGGATGAGTTCTTTTCCATAAACCTGTTTCTCCTGCTTGCTGGGCAGAGCCAGGCAGTTGCTATGTTGAGTGGAAGAGGAGCTATGCTGGGGCTCAGGGTCTGTCCAGCTGTTTTCAACTCTTAATTCCTCAACAGAGCCTCCCCAGACCTGTACTCCTGCTCTGGGGCTTAGAACTGAGGGGATGGCATGAGATGGGCATCTTCTTATTCAACCAGACAGTACCTTTCACGTCTGTAACCCCACAGACCAACATAGAACGTGACAGAGGAGAGGAGATCGTAAGTGAATATTTATTGAATAAATGACTTAATAAAGCCTGAGTAGAAGGCTTTTTTTCACTTGTGATACTGTCCCTTTTTGTTCTTCAAGTGGGAGGTACAAAACACAGTTATCAAGCTCTTACTGGCTGGCAGACACTGTACAGGCATTATCTTTTGTGAACCTCACAGAAGCCTTATAAAGTAGATATTAGTATTCCCGTTTTATAGATGAAAAATATGGGGATTGGGATATTTATAGACTAAGGTTAACAACTACTGTCTGGTGAGGTTGAATTCAGGTTCACCTGCCTTCAAAGCTTGTGATCTACATTGTAGCACTTTGCTCAGTGGGAGAGTTCACACTCACTTAGAATACCAAACTGATGAGATTCCATGGAGAGTCTTTGAAGAAAGACCAAACCCTGCAGCCTGAGCCATCGTGTGTGTGTGTGTGTGTGTGTGTGTGTGTGTATTTTAAGATGGAGTCTCACTCTGTTACCTAGGCTAGAGTACAGTGGTGCAATGTTGGCTAACTGCAACCTCCACTTCTCCACTTCCCAGGTTCAAGCAAGTCTCCTGCCTCAGCCTCCTGAGTAGCTGGGACTACAGACACCTGCCACCATGCCTGGCTATTTTTTGTATTATTATTATTATTGTTTTTAGTAGAGATGGAGTTTCACCATTTTAGCCAGGCTGGTCTCAAACTCCTGACCTTGTGCTCCGCCCGCCTTGGCCTCCCAAAGTGCTGGGATTTCAGGTGTGAGCCACTGCACCCAGCCTCAAATATAAATATATTTTAATTTCAAAAGTTTTTTTTTTTTTTTTTTTTTTTTGAGACGGAGTTTCGCTCTTGTTACCCAGGCTGGAGTGCAATGGCATGATCTCGGCTCACCGCAACCTCTGCCTCCTGGGTTCAGGCAATTCTCCTGCCTCAGCCTCCTGAGTAGCTGGGATTACAGGCACGTGCCACCATGCCCAGCTAATTTTTTGTATTTTTAGTAGAGACGGGGTTTCACCATGTTGACCAGGATGGTCTCGACCTCTCGACCTCGTGATCCACCCGCCTCGGCCTTCCAAAGTGCTGGGATTACAAGCTTGAGCCACCGTGCCCGGCCAATTTCAAAAGTTTTTAAGTGACAGGTAAAACTATGTATTTACAGTGTACAACATGATATTCTGAAGTATGCGTACATTGCAGAATGACCAAATCTAGCCAGTTAACATACGCATCACCTCACATAATTACCATTTTGGTGGTGAGAACACTTTATATCCACTCTCTTGGCATCTTTCAAGAATACAATATATTATTAACCATACCTATCATGCTGTACGATGGATCTCTTGAACTTATTCCTGCTTTCTAACTGGGATTTTCCGTCCTTTCACCAACATCTCCCTAACTACCTTTGCCCGCTCCCAACCACTCTAGCCCCTGGTAGCTGCTCTTTTACTCTCCACTTTTATGAAATCAGTTTTTTTTTTTTCAGACTCCTCATGAGTGAGCTTATACAGTATTTGTCTTTCTGTGCCTGGCTTATTTCACTTATAATGTGCTGTAGGTACAACTATTGTTGTCACAAATGACAGGTTTTCCTTTTTATTTTAATGGTCAAATAGTATTGTGTGTATGTATATATATATTATATATATATATATTTTATATATATATATATGTATCACATTTTCTTTATCCATTCATTGATAGACACTTAAGTTGATTCCCTGCCCTGACCATTATGAATAATATAGCAATGAACATGGGAGTGCAGGTATGTCTCTGACATGCTGATTTCATTTTCTTTGGATACACAGTAGTTCCCCCACCCCCCAGCCGGCATCCAAGGTTTTGCTTTTCAAGTTTTTAGTTATTCATAACCTGAAAATATGAAGAGATTTTGAGAGAAAGTGAGAGAAAGTGGTGGGGGGGGGAGGAGGGAGGGCGAGAAAGAGAGAGAGAGAGAGAGAGAGAGAGAGAGCGCGAGCAGGCGAGCAGAGGCTGCATTCATGTTGCTTTTATTACAGTGTATTATTATAATTGTTCTATTTTATCATTAACCTCTTACTGTGCCTAATTTACAAATTAAACTTTATCACAGGTATGTATGCACTGGAAAAATGTAGTGTATATAGGGTTTGGTACTATCTGCTGTTTCAGGCATCTTGGAACTTATCCCCTCTTGAATAAGAGGGGACCACTGTGTACTCAGTGTTGAAATTGCTGGATCAAGTGCAAATCTTTAATTAATACAGCCACAGCCTAGTTGGGATTCTCCCCAGCTACTAAGAAAATGACTCTGCACAACCTCTCAGGCACTGAGGAGACCAGCTGGGCAGGATCTTCAAAAACTAGTGATGGGGACCAGAGCAAAGGCAGGAGTGTGCTGAGTGTACAGTGGCTTAGCCATGCAGTGGGATGGATGGGCTCAGAAATGCTAGCTATTAGAATTGGATTTTCTCAGCCAATGAGAGTATCTACTTGGGGCTATTTGCTTTTAAGCCTAATTAAAAATGATCCCAGGTCAAATTCTATCTGGAAAGTTGGCCATTGAGTACCAAAGTGATACTTTAAGTAAATGTAGCAAGCTCTGAAGGGAGCTAACATCCCAGCAACTGACTCTTACCATATGCTGGCTCTGTCTTCAAGGTTCTCAGGGTTGCTGTCATTTTTTTTCTTTTTCTTTTCTTTTTCCTGCCTCATTCTTCTTCAGGTTGCCATGGTTTTATTTGTCATCTTAGGGAGGGGAAGAGGGAATTAATTGGATATTTCCTTCCCCAAGTAAGGAAAGGGAACATTACTTATTTTTTCTCTTCAAGTCAACCTAAAGACAAATCGTGGCTGAGAGACTTTGATACTGAGATGTAGATTCCGGAATCTACTTGTTTAGTGTCTTACTTTTGCCATTTTCAAAGTTGGAGTGCAGCCGAGATGTGGAACCTTGATCTGGAAGTCACAGCCCCTAGAGCTCATCTGGACTCTAACACTAATTGACTGGGCATCTTAGGCCTCTCGGGCTTTCAGGGCTAGACTTAATGAGATGTAAGAACACTAAATAACTACCATAGCCCCATGCTGCTTGAAGCTAGTGAAGGGTGACAGCATCCCTTGAACACTACTAATGCTGAAAGGAGAAGCAATCGCAGTCCCTCAGAGGGCAGGCCTTGGGACTTTAGGACTATCCAAAGAGAGGGAACTGATGCAAGATGCTATAACCTTAGAGTCAGAGATGGAAATGATGCTTATCTTAATGAGCAGCTCAGCTGGAGGGACTCTAATGGTCTTGGGTGGGAGCAGGAGGCTGGGGGTGAGATCTTAGCTAGAGGAGCCTGGGAGGTGGGTGACTAACTACTCTTTCCTCATTTCAGGTGCTGCACAGTGTGTCCAGCCTTGTGGGATCTGTTGTGAGCAGTGACTGAAGTCTCCCAGGTAGAGGGCAGGTTGCTGAGTTGGGTATGCAGCAGGTGCAGAAGCTGGATCCCAGAGCCCTATCAGTGGAGTGGCTTTTTAGTTCATGAACAGTTTCCTCATTTTAATTGGCTCTCTAGGGCCCCAGGAGTAGCACTCGCACCCCAGAACAGGACCCGTTACTGGGAGAGCAATTCCCCTGGTAATGGAGAGGAGGCAGGCTATGGTTTGGGGGAGGTGCTTGCTGCTGCCAGTGCTGCTTGGAAGGCTATAGCTAGAGCAGATATGCTGAGGGTGGGAGCTCAAGATGGCTGTGATTGATGGACGGGGTCTTGGAGGGGCCTCTTG